TCCTATCCTATCCTATCCTATCCTATCCTATCCTATCCTATCCTATCCTATCCCATTCCATTCCATTCCATTCTAAAAATAGCCCTTAGCCCGATCTCTTCACACAAAATGAAGGTCCCCGAGAAATATATTTTCAAGGCTTGGCTCTGTTTTAACCCTTTAGCTGCTCCCTAAATGTTTGGGCTTGGGATTTAAGTGGAATGTACAATTAGCGAGACAACGTAAGAAACCGTCCGTTTACCTGTAGGCCAGGGCCAGGGCCCAGACGCACGCAGCACAGTAAAGACTATCATGGATCTTTGCTCTCGGATTCTCCGTGCAAGTTTTGGTGGGGAAAAGACCGGTGGTCGGACTTTGGAAAATTAACACCGTTGCCTTGACTGCCAAGAGAAACAGAAGAAACATGCAAATTATTATTTAAACTGTTTTCAAACTTAAGCGTCTTTTTTTTCCCCCATGAGGCAAAAACTCCCCTATGAATAAGGTGAGAAATATACTCCCCAAAGTACGTTGTTGTTAATTTCCCATGAGAGTTGCTTCTCCCCCTACAGTTTCCTTTAAAAAAAATCTAATATTCTTGGCAATGTGCGTTGATTTTGGTCCCCTAAGCTTTGTCTACCCTATTAAAAAAAGTAGCATAACTGCTATAGCTTCCTTCAGTAGAAATTCCTTGAGGCATCCTATAAAACACGTGACCAAGAATTGCAGCACCTGAGGAAAATCAAAGTAACGTTTTCTCTGAAACTTGGGAATAAAAAATGTCTGGAAAATGTCTCATTTGACTGGGATGTTACAGAGGGTTTATAACGATCTGTTCTACTGTAGAAATATTTTGTGGATAACATATGTTGTTGTTGTTGTTGTTCGTCGCGAAGTCATGTCGACCCATCACGACCCCATGGACAATGTTCCTCCAGGCCTTCCTGTCCTCTACCATCCTCTGGAGTCCATTTAAGCTCACACCGACTGCTTCAGTGACTCCATCCAGCCACCTCATTCTCTGCCGTCCCCTTCTTCTTTTGCCCTCCATCGTTCCCAGCATTAGGCTCTTCTCCAGGAGTCCTTCCTTCTCATTAGGTGGCCAAAGTATTTGAGTTTCAACTTCAGGATCTGGCCTTCTAAAGAGCAGTCAGGGTTGATCTCTTCTAGGACTGACCGGTTTGATCGCCTTGCAGTCCAAGGGACTCGCAGGAGTCTTCCCCAGCACCAGAGTTCAAAGGCCTCAATTCTTTGGCACTCAGCCTTCCTTATGGTCCAACTTTCACAGCCATACATTGCAACTGGGAAAACCGTCGCCTTGACTATACGCACTTTTGTTGGCAGGGTGATGTCTCTGCTTTTTAGTACGCTGTCTAGATTGGATAACCTATAGACACTCACTAAAGGAAGATACAGGTAGTCCTTGACTTACAACAGTTCATTGAGTCATCGTTCAAAGTTACAGCACCGCAAAAAGTGATTTATGACCATTTTTCACACTTATGACCGTTGCAGCATCACTACGGACACATGATCAAAATTCAAACACTAGAGAGATGACAGTTATGATGGTTGCAGACAGTGTCCTGGGGTCATGTGATCCCCTTTTGCGACCTTGTGACAAGCAAAGTCAATGGGGAAACCAGATTCATTTAACAGCCATGTTACTAACTTACCAACCACAGTGATTCACTTAACAACAGTGTCAGGAAAAGTCATAAAATGGGGCAAAATTCATTTAACAACTGCCTCGCTTAGCAAGAGAAATTTGGGGTTCAATTGGGCTCGTAAGTCGAAGACTACCCGTAATGAATAGGAGCAACACTCAAAATGGGGGCTGGCAGCCATTTTCTCTTTCACTTTTCTTCTCTTGGGCTCATCCCCTTTTCTCTTTGTAAGACCTATCCCGCTCTCTATTTTGTTACTTTTTATTCTTTTTTAAAAAATATTATTTATTGCTTTATAAAAAAAATACAAAACAGTAAAACAAACAAAATGAAAGAAAACGAAAGCAAACATTCAACCCTAACAACAAGAACAAAAAGAAAAAGAAGAAGAAAAAGAGTGTACAAAAAAAGAGGAAAATATGATCGATTAAATTTAACATTTAGGATCTACCCTGGCTGGGTGCTAAAAGAAAACAAAAAGCACTAAATTCTCCTCCATATAGGCTACAAAGTAGATTGAGATTTTATCAGAGGCCTGAATTTATCTGTTGAAAAATCAAGCACCACACGCAATTCCTTGTGAGAATCACAGATCTCCCAATTCTGGGGAGGGCAAGAAATTAATGCAATATGCATTTTAAGATGAGCAACTATAAACTTATCCAGTCTGCGGTTTTGTTTTATTTTTGAGAGGGAATATTCCAGAAAGTGCAGATCTTTTAATACATTAAAAGGTCTGCGCTTTCTAGAATGTTCCCCCTCAAAAATCTATACAAAATCTCGAAAAACATACACAAAAACACTTTAAAATAAAAATAAAATAAAACAAAATCACAGACTGGATAAATTAAAGAAAAACACACACATTTGAGAATAATGCTGGAAATTGCGTTTACATTTTGACACCAGCTCTTAAAAAAATTAAACAATGTAAAAGTGAAATGAAAGGAACAGACGTTGGAAACATGAGAAGCTGGTGAAATCAGTTTGACAAATTTACCATTCACCCTGCAGAGTGATGAGGACATTCGCACTTCTTCCCAAATAAAAACAGAATATTTTAGCATGCATTTGTTGTAAAGCTATCCTAAGAAACTAGACATGTGACAGTTTGATGGCATTTTATTATTTGATGCTTTTGGTCTTACAGCCACATCTTTCCATCAAACATAAAAAAATTCTTTAGTAATTTGTAAATACTTTCAGTCATTAAACAGTAACAATTCAAATGTTATTGAAAGGTACATGCTATTTATTGCCCAATTGTGATTTCTGATTAAACCCACCATTTTAGAGAAGTTTGCAAACCTCTCTCCTTTTGAAAATTATTTATTTATTTTATTTATTTATTTATTTATTTAGGCTTTATATAAATTGAGGAGATTTGTATTGAATGGTGCGGAGGAAGTCATCAACTGTTCTTGAGAAATTAACATCACGGCTGAACATTCCACCAATCAATCAATATTCCTTTTGAAAGTCATTTATAACTCCTACATGAGGAAGTCGTTGGGGGAAAGACAGTATTGCTTTTAAAAACAAATCACAAACCAGGTTCAGAAGAAGAAAGGGCATTTCTTAAAATACAGCATTTCCCAAATAATTATATTCACTGCACCATTACGGCAAGCAAGATGGTGTACAGTTAGTTTCTTGCTTATTTTCCGGATAATCGGAAAAAGTAACTGTATGGCCATGAGCATTACTAATATTAAGCATCATATGAAAATTCAACCCTAACAATTACCCTAACAATTAACCTGTCTACAGGTAATTATTGGAGGAAACAAATCAACAGCAGCGCAGAGTGAATATGTGAATTTTTTATGATCCCAATTACATTTAAGACAAGAACGTAACATCATTTATCTTTGCTCTCTCAACTTTCTCAAAGTGGAAAATAATTTTGTGTGACTTACCTATACAATAGTAATGATCCAATTTATCCCACAGACTCTCTGCGTCTGGGTTTAGCAGATCAATGCTTTTCATGGGCTCGTATACAGAGCCTAAAGGAAGAAATGAGGAGGCCTCGATTACTATCACAGCAAAGAAACAAAAACAGAATTGCAGGCCTCCTGAAAATATTCTCAAGTACGCTTTCGTTTACTTCTATTGAGTTATTTGTGTTCAGCTGTTATGCCTCACTTTTCCAAAAGGTAACCAGGAGAATCCACGGAAATAAAAACACAGCATTCAGTTAAAATGTTTATTGTATGGAGAAAAAGAGAAAAATCACTTTTTAGAATTCTTCTTTGCAGGAATATACCCAGTCGGTATTTCCTGGGTATTGAGAAATTTGGTATGAAGTATGAATAACAATTTATGCAATCCAATCAAAACACTGAACCAACTCTGCATACGCTTACAGTATGCAGTCAAGATGAATAAAGAATAGCCGAGATGAAAAAGGTTTTTATTGAAGTGTCAAAGTTCTATAAAATATTCTGAAATAATCAGTGAATAATACATGTGTGGTGACCAATCTTGCAAAATAAATTTAGGGAGGCTGTCGTGCATTCCAGGAGTTACTCTTTAATGCTCTTCACAGTCTCGCAATGCATAACGACAATTTGCGATGGAATAAGGAATCAATCAAGATGCATTTGAATGTTCAGTTGATATGTCCAAAAAGTGCTTTTCAAAAGGCAACTGGACTTTCTTGGGGGTTTTTTTTCCCCTTGAAAACATTTCGCTTCTCACCCGAGAAGCTTCTTCAGTTCTGACTGAATGGTAGGGAATAGAAGGATTTATTTATTCCACGCCATTCAGTCAAAATTGAAGAAGCTTCTTGGATGAGAAGCGAAATGTTTTCAAGGGAAAAAAATAATAAAAGGTCCAGTTGCCTTTTTGGGAAAAGCACCTTTGGGACAACCGTGACGTGGGTGATTGTCTGAATATCTCCGTAGACATTCAGTTGATTTGATTGACAATGAGTTGAAACTATAATAATATAATAACTTTATTGTCATTGTACGTGTATACACAGTGTGCCCATACAACGAAATTCACTTAACACCCAAAGACCAGATCCAACACACATAACAATCCCCAAACACCCCCCCACCCCCAATTCCCCACCCTTAAACCACCCAAACATCCACACAACAGACCAAGTAAATGCTGTCCAACATCTCACTGATGGCGGCCCTTTAGTTCATTGTTGAGTGCAATTGTTTACATCAATCAGATAACATGGAAATTAGCCCAGTATCTTCAAATCTTTTATGGGTCTAATTTTATGACTCCTTGATGCTTCTCTATATAGAAAGAAAAATCTGACCTTTCTCATCTCAAACATCACCTTCTATTTTCATGTTCTTTCATAATGAGGTCTCCTGAGGAAGAAAAGAGCTATTGACAGAAGCCCTTTATTTATATGACTTTATTAAAAACGGGCTTCCCTTTTCAGCTCTTGACCACACATTATTGACTGTGACCTGTTACACTTAAGGGGAACTCCGAATGAAAAGGCGCTCCGCGGGAGAAATTCCCTCTTCAATTACAACACCACGTAACAAGATGCCCTGATCCACTACAGCAAATAATATCTCGAATCTTCACATGAAAGATTTTAAAAAGGTTTTTATCCTTTATTTCCCAATTAGAAGTCAAGAACACAGTAGAGGCAGATGATAATTTTCAAGATTATCATTGGCTTGAATGAGCTGTTGCTGGACAACTTTTGAGATTTTACGGAGCTCAAGTTTAGGGGCATTTTTGAGCGAGAGAAAGAAAGACTTCTTCACAACTGCATCATGCATTCTACCTCACTAAATATTTCTATTTCAAAGTACCCTGAAAACATCCCCTAGATGACTGGTTCCATCATTTTGGTCTCAGGATCCCTTTCCATTCTTAAAAAAAAAAAATGGTTGAAGATTCCTAAGTGGTTTGGTTTATGTGGATTGTTATCTATCAAAATTTACTGTGCTAGACATTTAAACCCCAAAAATGTCAAAATATTTATTTATTTGACTTATATGAACTCCTGAAATGGTCTTCTGGAAAGGCTGCCCAGACCACACTTTGAGACACTACTCTAGATCAGTGGTACAAGGACAAGAACAGAAATACCCTGTTCTGCAACCCAACAAGACAGACACAGACTTCAGAGGATAATTAGAACTGCAGAAAAAACAATGGCTACCAACCTGCCTTCCATTGAGGACCTGTATACTGCACGAGTCAAAAAGAGGGCTGTGAAAATATTTACAGACCCCTCGCATCCCGGACATAAACTGTTTCAACTCCTACCCTCAAAACGACACTATAGAGCACTGCACACCAGAACAACTAGACACAAGGACAGTTTTTTCCCAAACGCCATCACTCTGCTAAAGAAATAATTCCCTCAACACTGTCAAACTATTCACTAAGTCTGCATTACTATTACTATTAATCTTCTCATTGTTCCCATCACCCATCTCCTTCCACTTATGACTGTATGACTGTAACTTGTTGCTGTATTCTTACGATTTATATTGATTGTTTCCTAGTATGATTTGATTGCTTATTTGTGCCCTATGACTATCATTAAGTACCTTATGATTCTTAATGAATGTATCTTTTCTTTTTATGTACACTGAGAGCATATGCACCAAAGACAAATTCCTTGTGTGTCTAATCATATTTGGCCAATAAAGAATTCTGTTCTGTTCTGTTCTGTTCTGTTCTGTTCTGTTCTGTTCTGTTGTTCTATTCTATTCTATTCTATTCTATTCTATTCTATTCTACTCTACTCTACTCTACTCTACTCTACTCTACTCTACTCTACTCTACTGAAAATGATGCATCTGCCGGCAATATTGATGGTTTTAAAGCAGCGCTCTTCAAACTAAGCAACTTTAAGATTTGTTGGCTTCCATTCCCAGAATTCCCCAGCCAGCATTCTGGGAGTTGAAGTTCACAAGTCTTTCAAGTAGCCAAGTTTGAAAGCCCCTGGTTTAAAATGCAAGCAGAGTCTTGGAAAATAGCGCTGGTTGGTTTCATCCTAGAGATATAAGGGCTACGTTAAAAAGCCTCTAATGAATCTCAGATTAAATTACTTTAGACAGGCCTCTTTCCCCTTGCCATTTTATCCTACAGAATCAGTTATTAATAGAGGAAACCCTAGTACTATATCAATATACATTAATTAACTCTACAATTCCCTTACAGCACTCCCAATGCAGGTTTGAGCCACAGACCGGGATCTAATTGAAAAGGACTCATTTTGTGGGGAAGGCAAAATGAACTCAACTAATTTCTAAGGGCTTGATAATTTTCTAAAGCCAAAGATAAGTATATAATTTATCAGAATTAAATATCATTCCAACTAGCAGTAGTATAATCCTGCCCAATCGTCGCGCCCATAATCACTTGATTGAGATGGGTGGCTATAGGAATTGAATAAACAAATATAACTAAGATAAATAAGCAGTGATCAATAAAAATATAACAAATATTACTGGGAAAAAAAGCAAGTACATTTACAGAACCCTACTGCTAAGCTGGCTCATGGTAGCAGCTTTAAGGGAAGGAAGATTCTATTTAAGCATCGTTCTATAGGAATGCTCCTTCTTTTTTTCTTTCTCTCTTCTGAGATTTTTCACACAATGATAATTAATGATAATCTTCCTGTATTGATGAAATTGCCCTGCAACCAACAGTTATTAATACTGAATTACATGGGAGTTTGCTTGATTTTTGTGTCAGAAACACCGAGGCCCTTGAAAGGTTATCACTCCTGCCCAGGAATGCACAGCTAGAAGCTCTTTTCATGTCCCTATTAATACGCCCAGCAAAGTGGGCATATCTATCTATCTATTTGCAAATATTCACTTTTGAACTGCTAGGTCAGCAGTAGCTAGAGCAGGGGTCTGCAACCTTAAACACTCAAGAGAATCATTTGGACCCGTTTCTCACAGAAAAGAAAACACGGGGAGCCACAAAACCCTTCCCATGCCTGACTATTTCTTGAGCGGCCACAAAACTAGCATATGTAGTTGAATTAAACGTTCTGGTTTTCTTCTGAAACTTTTCTTTTCTTGGATTTATCCATGGTTGGCCTACCCGGGGTTGAAAAGCTCAATAAATTGTGTGCCGGCGGGTGTCACAAATTGCCGGTTGTGACACATATTTTGAATGACAAGGAGCCGCAGCAGAGGGGTGAAAGAGCCACATGCGGCTCCAGAGCCGCAGGTTGCTGACCCCTGAGCTAGAGTGAAGGACAGGAGCTCACCCCGTCATGTAGCAGGTCTCGAACAAGGTCTTTCTGATTGTCACCCCAGCGTCCTAACCACGTAATCTACTGTGCTCCTTACATGTGAGTACCTTCAACTTCACTGCAATATTTCTGTGCAGATAAGCATCTGAGATAGATTAGGATGGTGTGCTGCATGCAGGTAGTCCTCACTTAGCAGCTGCTTCGGACAGTGACTGTTTGCAGATACAACAACGACGAAACACTGACTTTGTGACCAATGCCTCCATTTATGACCTTCACAGCATCTCTTTCATACATTCACAAGTACAGTCATAATACATTGTCCTGTGAGGGGTCCTTGGGGCTCTTTGAGTTTGGTGGTTTTCTTGCAGCCGTTTCATGCACTAGCCTGATGATGTTACCTAGACTGGGTCATGAAACGTCTGGATTGAATTTATATTTATTAAGTTTGATTTACTGTTCCCCCAGTAGATACCACCGTTCTACAGCAACCAATACACGCCGTCAAGATAGGAATATAACTCCATTACAAATGAAGCACAGAGAGATAACACACAAGTTTTTGTCACTGCTTATCTTCAGGAGAAGCAAGGGAATATCTCATGAAAAAAATGGTTTGCTACCCATCCCTTCCCCCAATACTCCATTTAAAGTGGGGGGGGGGAAGCCCCCAAAGCACTTTTTTTTTAATTTGATTTATATGCCACCCTTCTCCGGAGACTCAGGGCGGCTTACAATGCGTTAAGCAATAGCCTTCATTCTTTTGTATATTTTATACAAAGTCAGCTTATTGCCCCCACAAACTGGGTCCTCAATTTACCTACCTTAGAAAGGATGGAAGGCTGAGTCAACCTTGAGCCTTGGCGAGATTCGAACCTGAAGTAATTGCAGGCAGCTGTTCTAATAACAGGGTGCTTTAGACCACTGTACTACCAAGGCTCTTTAAAAGGACTTTAAAACTCCTATCACCACCTTTGTAAATCAGCATGTGTAAAATATACAGTAAACTGTTATTCTGGAATAGGCTGCTGTGATATGATCCCAATTCAAATTACAGTCCCCGGGAAGGGGGAAGAGGTAGTGTGCAGGCATGTTGTGACAGCGGAGGAAGCAAATGTATAACAACTACTACAACTAGGAGACATGACACTTGGTGACCTGATGACCTGCCATACTGGCAGAGACGTCCCAGCGGCTTCGTGAGGTCATAGAGCAGGCGCTCGTTCTAACTCGAGACACGACCTCAAATCAACCACCCACGAACTGCCAAAGTTCACTTCATTCATGGATCAAAAAAAGAGAGAGAGAGAGAGAAATACCAAAGAAAAATGTGCAGAGTGAGAAAGAAAAGCTATAATTTTTATTCGGGGCATATTTTAAGCAGGTCTCAAGGGACACAAGCAGAAAGCCAGAAACTACACAACTCCCAAAAAAAAAAAGGCATTCAGAAAAGGACAGCTGAAGCAATTAAAAAAACCTTATAATTTAGAAATCTAACTCCTGCATGTTAATTGTTTTACTAGAAAGGAGGTAGCGATTGCTGCAAAAATTGGAGGAAAAGAAAACCTCCACAAATCGGAGGTTGGATTTTCATGTTGAGTTTAGGAAGGACTTAGGGGTGACATGAGAGCAGTTAACCAATATTTGAAGCGCTGCCACAAAGAAGAGGGGAGGTCATCCTATTCTCCGAAGCACCTGAAGGCACGGCAAGAAGTAATGGATGGATGGAAACTAATCAAGGAGAGAACCAAGAACTAAGGAGAAATTTCCTGGCAGTGAGAACAATTAATCAGTAGAACTCCAGAAGTTATGGCTGCTCCCACACTGGAGATTTTTAAGATCCTTTGCTTCCGTGTTATTCTGCTACCCAAACAAGCCAGGGCTTATTAGCCTGCAGTAGAGGTAAGTCCTTGACTTGCAATGATTCATTTAGCGACCGTTCGACCCTGAAAAAAAAGTCACCGGTAGCCAGTACTCGCATTTACAACCGTTGCAGCATCCCCACAGTCACGTGATCAAAATTTGGGTAACCGGCATGTATTTACAATGCTGGGGTCACGTGGTCGCCATTTGTGACATTCTCAGCTGGCTTCCGACAAGCAAAGACAATACGGGTAGTCCTCGACTTACAACAGTTGACTCAGTGACCGTTCGAAGTTACAACGGCACCGGGGGGGAAAAAAGTGACTTCTGGCCCGTTTTTCACACTGACGAGCCTGTTTCACATTTGTGACCATGGCAGCCTTCCCCACAAGGTCATGCCATTTACATTCGGATGCTTGGCAGCTGACTCACATTTATGACGACTGCAAAGTCCCGAGGTCATGTGATTCCCCTTCTGACAAGCGAGGTCAACGAGGAAGCCAGGTTCACTTAACAACCGTGTTACTAATTTCAGAACTCGAGGTGATTCACTTAACAACCGTGGCAAGCGAGGTCGTAAAAAGGAGGCCAAACTCACTTAACAAAGGTCTCACTTCACAACGGAAACCTCGGGCTCAATTGTGGCCGTAAGTCGAGGACTGCCTGCCCTATGAAAGAATGGCACCAGCATGGTTGTGACCAGGTTCCAAGTGTCATATAGCTTCAAAACTACCAATTGCAGGAGACAATAACAGCCCTTTTTAAGCTGACACTTCACATCAATAAGCAGCCATCAAACAGAGCAGGGGTGGGCAACTGTGGCCCTTTTACAACCGGTGGACTTCAATTCCCAGAATTCCTGAGACAGCCAAGCTGTCTCAGGAATTCTGGGAGTTGAAGTCCACCAGTTGTCAAAGGGCCACAGTTGCCCACCCCTGAAATAGAGCATCTGTTTGTGTTAATGTATCCACATCACCCCAAAACACAACATAAAGAGACTTGTTAAAGAGTCAACATACTTACCCGACCACAAGAACTCACGAGACGTGGTGCCTCTGTCAGTATTTGAAGTGGCCATTTCAAGCTCTTGCAGCTAATCACAAACGTTGCCAGGCTAAACTACTGCAATTTTTTGAAAACGTTTAGTGAGGGTTAGAAGCAATCAGGTTTCAAATTAAGCAAAAAGCAGTGTTAGCGAAGTTATTCACATCATGCCGTAGTAGACAATAAGGAGGATAATTAGATTAACAGGCTTTTCTTGTGTACTGCGTGAGTTTATTTTCCCAATTTTTTTTAAATCACTGGCTGAAGCACCATTGATTACAGCAGAGGTCTTCAAACTCGGCAGCTTGGAGACTTGTGGACTTCAACTCTCAGAATTCTCCAGCCAGTATAGCTGGGAGTTGAAGTTCACAAGTCTTCAAGCTGCCAAATTTGAAGAGCTCTGGATTATAGTGACAGAATGCCCAATTGTTGGGTTTACAGCAATAATATTATTCAACTCATTACTTTTTTAATTACGTAAGACAATATTGAGCGTCTACAATAACGAAAGAAGGAATCCTCCGTTCCAATCAAATAATTGTCATGTCCAAATCAAAACCTTTTGCTCTTGGGTTAATGGAACGTGTATATTATTCGTTAACCCAAAGAGTACACTCGGATATTGTACGTTCCTCAAACGTAATCTTATTCTATGTGACTCTTAAGCTTCCCGTTAAAAGAGTCCATAAATAAGTTTTAGGTTTGTTCAGTGGATATATTTCTATTTGCTCAAACCCCACCCCCTGATTGAACTGGTCTTAAGACCTATAATTATGGATGTAACCTTGAAAAGCTCTGCCGTCATTTCTAAGAGAGACATCAATTACTTCTAACCCACTCCTGAGTTAATTAATGGTATCAATTATGCTCCATTTGGTTTTATGCTGTAGATATATGAATTAGAGAATTCTTCAAATGGTGGGGGGGAGGAGCTCTGCAAATACATGACAAAATGCCTTGTGGTTATTTGATTCCTATCACACGTCAGTTCGGGCGGCTCTTTTTCATAACTTTCCCCACAACGCTGTGAGGTAGGTTGAGCTGAGAGAGGGAGGGACTGGCCCTAAGCACCCCAAAACAGCTCGTTGTGTTAAGGCAGGACTAGAATCTGGGTCTCCCTAGACTTACAGGTAGTCCTTGACTTACAACCATTGGTTTAGTGCGGTGGTGAAATCCAATTTTTTTTTACTACCGGTTCTGTGGGGGGGTGGCTTGGTGGGCATGGTGTGGCTTGGTGGGCGTGGCAGGGGAAGGGTACTGCAAAATCTCCATTCCCACCTCACTCCTGGGGGAAGGATATTGCAAAATATCCATTCCCACCCCACTCTGGGGCCAGCCAGAGGTGGTATTTGCCCGTTCTCCAAACTATTCAAAATTTCCGCTATGGGTTCTCTGAACTGCTCAAAATTTCCACTACCGGTTCTCTGAACTGCTCAAAATTTCCGCTACGGGTTCTCCAGAACCTGTCAGAACCTGTTGGATTTCACCCCTGGTTTAGTGACTGTTCAAAGTTACAACGGCACTGAAAATAGTGACTTATACGGTTTTCACACCTATGACTGCTGTAGCATTCTTATGGTCACCTGATCAAAATTTGGAACTGGGCAGCTGGCATGTACCCCACATGACCCCAGACGGTTGCAGTGTCTGGGGTCATGTGATCATTTTTTGCGACCTTCTGACAAGCAAAGTCAACGGGGAGGCCAGATTCCCTTAACAACCGTTTGGCTAACTTAACATGTGCATTTAACAACTGTGCAAAAAAGCTTGCAAAATGGGGCAAGATTCACTTAAGAACTGCCTTGCTTAGCGACAGAAATTTGGCCTACGTTATGGTCGTAAATTGAGGACTACCCATAGTCTGTTACACCATAGTTATATAGGAGGATTTGAAAGTTCTGTCATAGTGAAATTTGTAAGGTGTTATTCTTCGTATCAAATTATGCATGCATTCAAATTACCCAGTCTTTATCAGGTTACTGTATAGTATTTAAACAGCAATGATTTAACATTTGACATTAGTTACATATTAGGAGCATAACAATCTTGTTGCTAATTGTGGCATGCCTAAACTAACTCATAGACATAGCATTTGCAACAGCAGTGTATTTCTATTCCATTGTGCTTGCTTCTGCACAACTCAGAAGTTTATATAGTTTTATCTTAGCAAAACGAGAACATTTATTAAAATCTATCCTGTGTAACACCTAATAAGTGGTAATTGGAATCTCCAACGAGGAGCATACCAAAGTTAAAGGTATATATCATATGAAAAGTATTTATTTGCAACTATATTTTCTTATTCAAGGCAGTTGGTAGAAACTCAAAATTTGAAGAAAAAAAATCCATGGCTCAAACACAAAAATAGAAAAGAAAGTGGTAGTTTTGGCTTCATTGCAATCTTTAATCTTCCTTTAATACTCATTCTTACTATTTACAGAAATCCATGTATAGCTTATTCCAGAGGTCTTCAAACTTGGCAGCTTTAAGACTTGTGGACTTCAACTCCCAGAATTCTCCAGCCAGCAGGGAAATCTAACTATTGTTCAAGAGTATTCTTTCCTTGCAATTTAAGAGTACTAGTTTATCTTATGTCAGAGTGTGTATAGAAGGCTACTTTAATTTATAATGTGTTAACAGGCCTTTATTTTGTGTATGATTTGAAAATCCAGTGCAAGCAATGGTTTATTGACCAAAGTTGACTGCAGGAAACATAAGAGATACGTAGTAATCATCAGAACAGCAAACCAAATATTTTTCCCTCCTCTAAGTAGATTTAAACTACGAATTTGAAACATAATTTCATTGTTTTCCTATATGGAAAGATACATCCACAGAAGTAAAGGTAAAATGTAGCTGAAAATAGGAAGGAGATCATTATAAGTGACTGGAGCCAAAGCATGCTGTGGATAGACTTTCTCTGGAGACTTTTTTATTAGTGATTTTTTTATACTGAAAGGGCTGCAAGAAATGTAAACAAGCAATAGCAGAATTTGCATTTCGGGGACAGCCAGAGCTCTGCAGCCACCTTTGCAAGTCACTTGTGAAGCTGCCAAATGCCTCAAGCAAAAGACAAAAATAGTTTACAAGTCAAGGAAGGGAAGACTTATTGACTGACGGGGGCCAAGGAAGGTAAAATTGTATGGAAGAGAGTACATTTTGTGAAGAGATAGAGAAAAATCAATGAGAGAGAGAGAGAGACAAATATTGGGTGATCAAATCACAGAATCAGAGAAAACTCTTGGAAAATAGAGTAGGAAAACGAACATAAAAAGTATGAACATAAAAAGTATGGAACATAAAAAGTATGAAAAACAGAAGACAAGGACAAAAACAGGGGGAAGCAAAGACTGCTCTAATTTTTTCCCACTTTGGTTTTGCTTTAAAAATCTCCAACTGTCTCCGATAGCAAAGTATCAGAAACATCAGACAATCCCATCAAGAGAGAAAGATGGAAACTCGATGAGTTATGATCAGAAAAATGTAGCACTTGCAAAAGACAGAGGTTTGACTTCTGTGTCTCATGTTGACTACAATATATATAATACATATAAAGACATTCCAAAATGTTCTGTAAACCTAGGATTTAATCCCAATCTTGGTGACCTGCAAAATTGTACGATCAAATTACTGAATTCCATCGTGTTTAGGACCACACTGAAATGCCTTGAGAGGACAGCATTTTAATCCAGGTTAGGGAAGTTCTGCTTTCAAACCAATCATGGTTTATAATAAGCATACCTCTCTCTAAAGCAGAAAGCTCAAGTTTCCTCACTAGGATTTTTAGCCACGTAGGCAAAACAAGAGGAAACTTTAGAAACACCTAGCATTTTTTCCGAATCGCTTGTTCTTATGTTTACAATACCTGCATCATACTTATCTATACAGAAGCCCTAAGAGAATTTTAGATGTTTGTAAGGGCAAGATTGCAGATCTTGTGTGTATATATACATATATTTAGCTGATGAGAGCTAAATAACTTGAAATAGATCTGTACTAGTCTCCCTTTATTTCTTTATCAGCGAAATATAAATTATATATATATATATGAAAATAAGACCCTGTCTTATATTTTTTTGAACCCCGAAATAAGCGCTTGGCCTTATTTTCAGGGACGTCTTATTATTTTGGGGCACGTGGAGCAAGACGGGGCTCCTCTTGCCATCTTACCTGATTTCCATTTTTGTCTCCCTAACCCTAACCAGAGGAAATGGCATGGATCTGCTGTGCATGCATTTAAATATTTTTGGGGAGAGCTTATTTCCAGGGGAGGGCTTATTTTAGCCCATGTGCTCAAAAGCTAGATTGGGCTTATTATTGGGGATGTCTTATTTTCGGGGAAACAATATTATATATAAAAATATATCCCACTAACTGATGGCTGCACCAAAGAGTCAGCAAAGCCCCCTCCCAAAACTAATTCCTATTTCTTCATTCCTATTGTTTAAATTTACTATAGCTGCCCAACTATAAAAAAAATATTTTGCCAGCCAGTTAGGAAATCTATCTTGAGTTCCACAGGACAGTGTCTTAATTTTTTCCCCTCTTTTCAGAGGGGGCTGGGGAACAGGAAACAAAGGGAATCTGGCCCAAAGTGAGCCCCTTCCAACCCAGGAAGGGGGAATGCAAGGCTTGGAAAAGATCCTCTAAAACGATCAAGGGCAGGGGGTCTCCAATCTGGGCAACTTTAAACCTGGAGGACTTCAACTCCCAGAATTCCTCCGCCAACAAAACTCAAAAGTCCCAGAATTCCTCAGCAAAGCTGGCTGAGGAATTCTGGGAGCTGAAGTCCTCTAGGCTTAAAGTTGCCCAGGTTGGAGACCCCTGATCAAGGGGACCAGGCAAAAGTTTCTGGGTAAGACTTTAATTTGTTTTTTAATTTTTTTAATTTTGATTTATATGCCGCCCTTCTCCGGAGACTCAGGGCGGCTTACAATGCGTTAAGCAATAGCCTTCATCCTTTTTTTGTATATTTATACAAAGTCAGCTTATTGCCCCCACAATCTGGGTCCTCATTTCACCTACCTTAGAAAGGATGGAAGGCTGAGTCGACCTTGAGCCTTGGCGAGATTCGAACCTGCAGTAATTGCAGGCAGCTGGTCTTAATAACAGGGTGCTTTAAACCACTGTACTACCAAGGCTCTTTTAATTTTAATTTATTTATTTATTTTACATTTTATAAAGGTCATTTTTTAAAAAAACTTTTTAACTGCAGTCTTTTGAACTGCAAGTCCTCCCTGTTGTGGTTTGTTCTTTCTGGGAGCAGCGAAGCGAGGATGGGAAGAAAAAAAAAAAAGAGAGAGAGAGAGAGAGAGAGAGAAAAGAGGGGCAGGCGCTCAGACTACAACTCCCAGAGTTCCCCGTTCAGGCTCTTCAACTCTTTCAAGGCTGGATAAAGAGCGGAGGGGAGGGAGGAGCAAGTGTGGGGGGGTAAACCGGGCTCGCGGGGCATCCTGGGAGTTGGAGTTCCAAACTCTGCCCGCTGCACAAGCGACCAAAGGGGAAGGCGAGCGAGACAAGGGGGAGAAGACAACGCGGAGGTGGGGGAAGACAGGTGAGGGGGGGGGGAAGAGAAGTCAGACCTGAACGCTTGGAGCGGGCCCTCAGCTCCACCATTTTCCAGCTCACATCAGCCAGAGAAGACGCCATGGCGGCTGCGGGAGGAGGAGGAGGACGAGCGACCCCCTCAAAACTCCGCCCTGGGCTGAAAAGCCAGACGCTTAATCCCCGCCCCCTTGTCAAGTAAACGCAACGACGGTTGCTAGGCTCCGCCGTAAATACACACACACACAGACATACGGTGTATATATATAAAAATACACACACATATACAAATATATCCTCCTCCGCGCAGGCGCAATGCGTCGGTGCCGTAAAGCGAACCCGGAAACCGCGCGGCCCTGTTAAAAGAACCGGTTGGAGTTTAGCCTCCCGCTATGGGGGGACCCTGCCGCCCCGCCAGGGGTCCCGTCTTCGCTAGGCGTGGCCGGTCCTCGCTGCTATGGCCGCTGCTGCTGTTAATGACGGCCGGGGCGTTGCTGAAACCCGGCCGGGCCTTGCAGAACGTCACCTCGCAGCTTTTCGGAGCCGAGGCTTTCGGGACTCTGGCCGCCTTCGGGGACTTCAACTCCGACAAGCAGACCGACCTCTTCGTGCTGAGGAGAGGTGAGAGGCCGAGGCGAATGGGTCCACAACATGAACCCCAAATAATCATGAGGGGTTGTTTTAAGATAGCAAGTGTCATATAGCATAGAGCCTTGGTAGTACAGCGGTCTAAGGCACCCCTGTTGTTAAGAACAGCTGCCTGCAATTTCTGCTGGTTCGAATCTCGCCAAGGCTCAAGGTTGACTCAGCCTTCCATCCTTTCTAAGGTAGGTGAAATGAGGACCCAGTTTGTGGGGGCAATAAGCTGACTTTGTATAAAATATACAAAAGTATGAAGGCTATTGCTTAGCACATTGTAAGCCGCCCTGAGTCTCCGGAGAAGGGCGGCATATAAATCAAATTTAAAAAAAAAAAAAAGAAAGAAGAGAAAGAGAAAGAAGGAAGGAAGGAAGAAAGGAAAGAAAAAAAGAGAAAGAAAGAGAAGCTGACTTTGTATAAGTATACAAAAGTATGAAGGCTATTGCTTAACGCCTTGTAAGCCACCCTGAGACTTCGGAGAAGGGCAGCATATAAATCAAATTTTTTAAAAAAACACATAAAATGATACTGACATCTTCCTGTAAAGTATTTGTACATTCTTCCTAATGTTTTGGCCTCTTAAATGTGTTGGTATAGGAACATAGGCTAACAGTGATTCATAAACTTGTTTACCTGCACTGTTTTCCTTTTGTTGGTTAAGAAACGCATGCTGAAATGTGATTATTTTATTTTATTTTATTTTATTTTATTATTTTATTTTATTTTATTTTATTATTTTATTTTATTATTTTATTATTTTATTATTTTATTTTATTATTTTATTTTATTTTATTTTATTATTTTATTATTTTATTTTATTTTATTTTATTTTATTTTATTTTATTTCTATACCGCCCTTCTCCTGCGGGACTCCAAGGCGGTGTACAGCCGAGATAAAAGGATTAGCAGACAAGGGACTCTAATGTCCTTATTGTTGACATCATGAGCCAAAATGTGTCATAAATGTTTCTCTTTGGCATGTAAACAAAGCAGCCATCCTTCTGCCAAACAAGTACTGACACAGTAGCAATTTCCTTCCTGTGCTAATGTGCTTACTCAATGAAAGGTCACAAAGTTACTTGTTTCATTTTGGCTTTCAGTGTGTCCGAAGGCAAGCAGTGTCTGTGTTTTTTTTTTTTTACATGCACAATAAATTAAGGCATTTGTCAAACTCAGCATTGAGATTTCCTGGTACAAGGAGTGAAGCTTGAGAAATTGCCTTGTTGTTACTGGTGGAATGCTAAAGGGTTTTGTGGGTTGAACGTCAGATTGAAAAAGGAATCTTAAGGGTGCTAAAGTGATGAAAGAAATGTAGCTTTTTATTGGCACCTGGGTATTCCATACCTTTATGACAGTGGTGAAATCCAAATTTTTTTACTACTGGTTCTGTGGGCGTGGTATGGCTTGGTGGCGTGGCAGGGGAAGGACATTGCAAAATCTCCATTCCCTCCCCACTCCAGGGGAAGAATACTGCAAAATCCCCATTCCCTCCCCACTCCTGGAGGAAGGATATTGCAAAATCCCCATTCCCTCCCCACTCCTGGGGGAAGGATATTGCAAAAATCTCCATTCCCACCCCACTCTGGGACCAGCCAGAGGTGACATTTGCCGGTTCTCCAAACGACTCAAAATTTCCGCTACCGGTTCTCCAGAACCTGTTGGATTTCATCCCTGCTTTATGAGGAAATAGGTAGGATGATATGCTACACTGGAGGATTTTTCTACAGCAGGGGTGTCAAATTCGATTTCATTGAGGGCTGCATCAGCGTTGTGTTTGACCTTTGGGGGGGCCAGGGTGTGTGGCCAGGGGGCATGGCCAACTTGACGTCACTTGTGTTGGGGGCGCCTGTGGTGGCCTAAGGGCTCTGCCAGCGAAAACGGGCTTCCGAGCTGTGACAGCCTCCTGCAACCCTCTGCCAGTGAAAACGGAACTTGGGAGGGCTGATAGCAATGATTTTTTTTTTAAAGGGAGAATTTAAAAGAATTTAGGGCTTCCTGTGTAGAGTAGTAACTAATAAACGTTCCTGAAGTTGCAGTGTGAACTTTAGAGTTTACCAATTACAGAATAATAGAGTTGGAAGGGACCTTGGAAGTCTTCTAGTCCAGCCCCCTGAAAGTGTTCTAGCATTTCCATATGAAATAAAGTTAAAACATCAGAGATACTAAGTAGTCTTAGCTTGATCATTATGATCCATGTATGCATTACAGATCATTCAGGGTAAAAAAGATGACAGAGATTGACAAGCTCTGTTGCAAAGGCAACAAGTGATAAAGTACTTTTTAAGTCCAGAACCTCCAGATACCATCCAGAAGTGGCCGGGCCCCTTTCCTAATTCCCTAAACCAGGGGTTTGCAACCTTAAACACTCAACGAGCCATTTGGATCTGTTTCCCACAGAAAAGAAAACACTGGGAGCCACAAAACCCTTCCCGTGCTTGACTGTTTCTTGAGCAGCCACAAAACAAGCTGAATTAAACGTTCTGTTTTCTTCTGAAACTTTTCTTCGATTTATCCATGGTTGGCCTACCAGGGGTTGAAAAGCTCAATAAATCGCGTGCCGGCGGGTGTCGCACATTGGCGGTTGTGACACATATTTTGAGTGACAGAGCCGCAGCAGAGGGGTAAAAGAGCCACATACGGCTCCGGAGCCACAGGTTGCTGACCCCTGCCCTAAATTATAAGAAGAAGGAAGTTTGGCTGAGTTGCTTGTTTCTCTTATAGGCAATCTCAATAAAACAATGGGTCCTCCATCACTGGAGGCTTTCAAGAAGGGACTGGACATCCACTTGTCAGAAATGGCATAGGGCCGTGATGGCGAACCTGTGGCACGCGTGCCAGAGGTGGCACGCAGAGCCTCTCTGTGGGCATGCACGCAGTCGCCAGCTGTTCTTCTGGTTTCCGATGCGCACATGTGTACCGGCCAGCTGGTCTTCACGGGCGCCAGAGTGCCGGAAAATGTCCTGAAAACATCCAAAAAAACGTCCCAAAAACAGCCCCCAAAACAGTCTGAAAACGGTCTGAAAATGGCCCAAAAAACAGCCAAAACCTAGGCATGCACCAAAGACCACACAGCTGGTCTTTGGGTTTCTGGCGCTCCGGCACTCTGGTGCGTGCCAATGCACGCACATCCACGTGTGTTCTGGTTTGGGCACTTGGTGCCGAAAAGGTTCTCCATCACTGGCATAGGGTCTCCTGCTTGAGCAGTAGGTTGGACTAGATGACCTACAAGGTCCCTTCCGATTCCATTATTCTATATTCTGTCATTTTAGCCTTTCCGTGGAGTTGAGTTTTTGGTCAGGTCTACTTAGTGGGGCTGACCCAGTGGTGAAATCTAAAATTTGTTACTACCGGTTCTGTGGGTGTGGCTTGGTGGTGGTGGGGGTAATGTGACTGGGTGGGCGTGGCCTTTTTTTTTTTTTTTACTTTTAAAACCATTTTTTCTCCAACCTCTTCGAAGAGGTTGTAAAAAAAAATGCTTTCAAAAGGCTCTGACGATCCCAGCTGAGTTGCCTGATCAGCAGAGGCTTTTTTTCTTTTAAAAGCCTCTGATGATCAGGCAACTGAGCTGGGATCGTCAGAGGCATTTAAAAGAAAAAAAGGGGGTTTTTTTCTTTTAAAAGCCTTCGATGATCCAGCTGAGCTGCGCGATCATCAGAGGCTTTTTTTTTTTACTTTTAAAAGTATTTTTTCGGCCAAAGAGGTTGTAGAAAAATGCTTTTAAAAGTAAAAAAAAGCCTCTGATGATTGTGTGGCTCAGCTGGGCATGGGGGTGGGGGACAGGGATTTTTGCTACCGGTTCTCCGAATCACCCGCCTCCATCGCTACTGGATTGGGCGATCCGGTCCGAACCTGGAGCATTTCACCCCTGGGCTGACCCATATATGCTCCGAAAACCTGGGGGAAACACCGTATGTGCTTCTTATTTCCTTAGATCAGGAGGTAAAATGAGGTGGGTTGAAAAAGCAGTCACGAAGGCAGAAAGTTAAAAGATTGTCATTGGTTGTTGCTGTTTAAAAGGATGTATTTCCTCCTCCCTTTACAGAGAGCGAATTAAATATCTTCCTTGCGGACCAAAATGAGCCCTACTTTAAGCCGAAAGTCAAATTACTATTAAGGTAAATGCAGAACTACCGGAATTGTTTCCAATAGATTTTTGTGTGCTGTTCATTCTATATATCAGGATGTTAAATGGATCTTGCTATAATACTCAGGTCTCAAAGATCTGTTTTGTAATGCTCGTATGGGGATTTTTCTGCGGCCTCAGAGATGATTACAGTAATAATTCATGATTTATCTAACTGGTAGTGATGTTTTACATTCATAATGAAGCACAGCGCTACAGAACGTCAACTAAACCCCCTTTTTTTGAGGAGAATGTACCTTTCAATAAATGTGCTTAGAGCTGTACGTGCAATATATACATTGACACTTTTTAAATATTAATGGAGCCAATGGTTTTCCGAAAAATATTGTAGACTAACTGATAACCTGGCCTTGCCCGGGTATTTATTTATCCCAATCCTGCTTTTGAGGTGATTATCTGCATTAGCAGGCACCTCCCTTGACAACTTATTCTCTTTGCTTGAAGCTGAGGGCCTAGGGTGGTGTGTTTTTTTTAAAGAACCAATCCCCCTTACCAGAGGGAGCTCCTTTGTGGAGTACTGTGAAGCGGTTACCTTGGCAACTCCACTGTGCTGTACAGTAGAAGCCATTTTAAGGCACAACAGGCTGTATCTTAACAGAACTTGAATCCAAAAATGCACACTATCACTGTCAAAAGTACTGTGATTTGACACTATAGATATGATTCATTTCTTTTCATTTCAGCAGTCCAGGTGTTCCAGAGTTATGCTGAAACACACACACACACACCGAGGGGTGTTAGGGTTGTCTTACCTCCACCGTATTTTTTTCCAGAGAATAAGTCATCTGTACCAAGTTTGGTTGAAATTGCTCAAGGCATTCCAGAGTTATGCTGGAACATACACATACACACACACACACACACACGCAGAGAGAGAGAGAGAGAGAGAGAGAGAGAGAGAGAGCCATTTATATATAGATAGATTATTTTCAGCTTGCTCATTGTGCTTTCTGATGTGAAACAGTATACAAATGGGGCAGAGGGGATATGGCCATTTTTAGAAGGGCTAAGACAATGATAAAATTTAATCTTCAAAGATTGCTTTTGGAGGATGAAAATGTATATTCTCCGAACTAGTTTTGAAATGTGAAATCATTTAAGCCATCAGAGCTACAAAATTTATGAAGGCACAGTGCTGAAGATTATTTTGTCAAGATTTTACCCTGAACTAGAACAATTATACGCAAGGCAGCATATCTAAGTGGCATTTCTTTCGATAGATGTAGTATATTCGGCACTTAAACTTTTGTTCCCTTAATTTTAGGGATGTTGTGATAACCAGTGTAGTTCCTGGTGATTACGACGGCGATTCACAAATGGATGTCCTTTTGACGACTCGTCCACGAGAACAGCCCAATGCTGACCTATCCGTCTGGATTTTCTGGGGAAATAATCAAACTTTAGGTAGGCTATATTGCAGGGATGATGTCCAGAAAATATTCATTGAGTTCTTCTACAAAGCAACTATAAATATCCCTATTCTTAGGTGAATGTACTTAAATTCAGTTTACACATAAAAGTTTAGTCCTTGAGTGATCGGTCCTTGATGCTCTCTGAGCTAGCTTGTTTGCTTGCAAACGTTTCATTACCCAACTAAGTAACATCATCAGGGCTAAGTCAATGTTTAGTCCTTGACTCTCCCTGTGCACAAAAGCCTATTTAATAGTGGAAGGCCATATTGTAGCCATAAAACGTGTACTATGCCTTCATTTTGATTTATCAAAAGCATAAACACTTCACCACAGTAAAGCATATTGGTTCTTATAGTCTGGCCAGTTAATTACTTTAAATATTATTACTATAAATAGACAGATCTATCTTCAGTTCCTTAAATTTCTTCATCCCCCCCCCCCCACCGATGGATAGCTCCATATTCTTTAGGAATAGGAATAGGATTAATTTCAAACTGTACTAGATACAAAGAATCCTAAGAAATAAAACAAAGACCCAATTGAATGTATATAATGTTACATGTGAAACATGTAACAAATGTGACCCTTTTTTTTTTGTTTTTGTTTTTTCTCTCCCCAGATATAAATCGTAAATTTGTAGCAAATAAGACATTTTCTGATGAACCATTAATCATGGAGTAAGTATATGCTCAATGTGAGACTTTTTTAAAGAGTGAAATTATAGGTTGAAAATTATAGGTTAAAAAAGGATGTGGTGGCTCAGTGGCTAAGATGCTGAGCTTGTCAATCGAAAGGTCGGCAGTTCGAATCCATAGTACCGCATAACGGGGGTGATCTCTGTTACTTGTCCCAGCTTCTGCCAACCTAGCAGTTCGAAAGCATGTAAAAAATGCAAGTAGAAAAATAGGTGGGAAGGGAACAGCGTTCCATGTGCCTTTGGTGTTTAGTCATGCCGGCCACATGACCATGGAGACGTCTTCAGACAGCGCTGGCTCTTCCATTTGAAACAGATCTGAGCACTGCCCCCTAGAGTTGGGAACGATTAGCACATACATGCAAGGGGAACCTTTTACCTTTAAGTATATGAGATTTTTTTAAAGAGTGAAATTATATATTGATACCATTTATATCTGATTTCATTTTAAAAAATAAAAGCGATTGGATAAAATTGGTTGCGTAACTTGAATATCCCACTTTTTGTTCTTATTGTTTTCCTGTTGCTGCTGAAGTTTCAATGGTGATTTAATTCCTGACATCTTTGGAGTTACCAGTGAATCAAAAAGGCCAGAAATACTAATTGGCAGGTAAGCTAATTTCTTCATTATTGTTGTATCCTAAGAGTTTGCTGCAAGTCCTTGACTTACAACTGTTTGTTTAGTGGCCATTCGGAGTTACAAATGGCACTGAAAAAAGTGACTTATGACCTTTTTTTACACTTACAACTGTTGCAGCATCCCCACGGTCACATGATCAAAATTCAGACCTTTGGCAACTGGCTCATATTTATGACGGTTGAAGGGTCCCGGGGTCACGCAAAAGGATCCCTTTTTGCAACCTTCTGTCAAGCAAAGTCAATGGGGAAGCCAGATTTCACTTAAAATGGTCAAAGCTCACTTAACAACTGTCTTGCCGAGCAACAGAAATTTTGGGTTCAAATTATAGTTGTATCTTGAGGAATACCAGTACAATATTTCTGTAACACCTCTCGCTGTGAGTTGTGTATTTTTACGGAACCGAACTTTGGCTATATACATTAGTAGCGTACCATACCTTTAAAAAATTGAATTGTTGCAAGGCATTTGTTAGCTATGGTTCATTTTACGCATAGTCCTCGATTTAAAACCACATTTGGGACTACAAATTCTGTTGCTAAGCAAAGCAGTTAATAAATAAGTCATATCCCTTTTGCCATCTGGTCATCAGATTAGATTAGATTTACAGAGTTGGAAGGGACCTTGTAGGTCATCTAGTCCAACCCTCTGCCCAAGTAGGAAAACCTACACCACTTCTGACAACTGGCAGTCCCCCCCAGGACTTTTTAACCGTCGTAAATAGACGCTGGTTGCCAAGCCCCCAAACTTTGATCATGTGACCATGGGAACGCTGCAGTGGTCATAAGTGGTTATAAGTCACTTTTTTCAGTGCCCATTGTGACTTTGAACAAACGGCTGTAGGTCAAGGACTCCCTGTTTCTTTGAAGATTTCATTCTTTCTTAACCTGTAACGAAAGGAGGGGAAGAAAGCCTCTTGATACTACATTTGCTAGTCACAGTTGCATTAAAAAAAAATCACTTGAGCAAAAAACAAAAAAAAAACCCTGTTTCTCGGTTAATTTTAAATCGGCTAAATGTTTTTAAAATTACTAACTGCGCAGCTTTCTCAGTATTAGAAATGTGGAGGGATGCAAATGTGGAGGGAGGAAACCGTGTATCATGTCCTTTTTTTTTATGCACGCGTGCAGTTAATTTATTTATTCCCACCCAGAGAACTGCCATCTTCAGCCAAGGGGTTGCACTTTTACAGATAATCAATACGAGAGCTCACCAACCTCAAAAGTAAAATGGTTTATTGTGAAGTGTTTTGCACTCCCCCCCCACCCCCCGTGGGGTTTTTTAGCAGTTCTGTCAAGACAAGCACATCATCACACTTAGAGAAGTCAATCAGATTATTCTCCTGTTTCCATAGAAACAGCCCAGCAATTTTCTAACTTGTGTCCCGTCCCATTCCTTCCCCCCAGGCACCTAACTCTTTTAATTAAGCAACATGTTTGGTATCCTTAACTTTCGTTAAATAGAAAAAAAGGGGGGGAAAGATTCACTCATTTAGGTAAACGAGGAAGTAAATTAAGACTGACTGGTATTTGGAAGACACAAATTCTGATAGTTGGTATGTAGGAGTCTGCAGTCTGCATATGTGCAGGAATTTTCCTATCTTGGATGGCAAACCTCAGATAAGGAAGGTTACTTGCACAGGCGCCAGGAAATGGCATTAGAAGATAAGACCCTAACTCTGTAAATAAGAGGAACAGGAGGAGAGGAAGTGGGATGTGTGTTAGATTTTAATTATAGCTAAATATTATAAGTGCTTAAGCAAAGCAGTAATGATTAACCTATGATTTAAGTTACCTGGAAGATTCTGTGAGCCAATGATATGCTGCCAAATACGCTGTAACTTGAAAGTAACAAACTATATAATGTCACTATGTAAGGCAATAAAGTTACCATATATTTCCTCAACCTCTCTGTGTGTGGTCATTTACAACATCGGTATAGGTTGGATTTTGTCCCACAAATCTGTTTTGTGGCATTTTCTTTGACAGGAAAAATGAGTAGCGTAAAAAGCAGCGGTTTTGTTTTAGAAATCACGTTGTGTGGTGTAAGTATGGTTGGGCCTACTTTTCAGAGGGGGGTGGTATCAGTGGACCATTAAGGTAATTTTCTGTCTTACCGAAATCACTCCATAAAATCTGTGACTTTACAGAACAAAGCCTGCAAATTGCTCTGGGGTTATACCACAGCAATTACAACCTTGCATGAATTTTTGTTAGAAGATTTTAGCACCGTTTGGAACCGTTAAGAAAAAACAAAAAACACCTCCCTATTCTTAGTTCTCTTCCTAACAAATGAAATACGTTTTAACAGTCATGCACGTGGTGAGACAAAATCCAATTTCCCTTAAGGTGTTGAGCCACAAACTACCTGGCTGGTATATTTTGCAAAACAGCTAGCAATACTGTGAAGTATCTGTATTTCTTTTTTTTTCTTCTTCTTCTTCTTCTTCTTTTTTTCCCGCGATGGAACAAAATGTGCGAGCAAAACATTTTTAATCGCCTGAGCCGATGGCACTAGCTTTTCTCTAAATTTAAATCAACTTTCAAATAGCTCAGGTACAGAAATCAAATTCCATTGATGTCTTAATCAACAGAGGAGACTTAGTTGAAAAGCGAGACTCAAGGGAATAAGCATCTTAAGCCAAATCTTCTTAAAGAATACTTAATCATTGAATGAACTGGTCAGAGGTTTAGCCAGCATAGCAATTTCAATTAAATGTATTTTAATCATCAGCTTAAAAAGAAAAAAAAACAAAACTTTGAGGCAAATGACTTGGTTTATTCATAATTTTTCCCTTGTTTGTTATTGCTAAGTTGTCTTACTAACACAATTTTAATTATTCTTTGAAGACTTTCATTGGGTCTCCTTGTATCTATATGCAGTTCATCCTATTTCCAGTTACCCCTTCAAAAGTAAATTATTACAGAGTTGTTTGCCAGTGGAATTCTCCGTACAGGTGGTTCTCAACTTACGACCACAATTGAGCCCAAAATTTCTGTTGCTACGTGAAACATACGTTAAGTGAATTTTGTCCCATTTTACGACCTTTCTTGCCACCGTTAAGTGAATCGCTGCGGTTATTAAGCAAGTCACACGGTGGTTCAGTGAATCTGGTTTCCCGATTGACTTTGCTTCTCCGAAGGTCGCAAAGGGGAATCACGTCACCCCGGGACTCTGCAACTGTGCACTATGTCTGAATTTTGATCATGTGGCCATGGGGATGCTGCAACGGCCATAAGTGTGAAAAATGGTCATAAGTCCCTTTTTTCAGGGCCGTTGTAACTTCAAACAGTTACTCAATGAACAGTTGTATGTCAAGGACTGTGTCAGCGTTCCAGAAAACCCCCAACTCCAACTAAAGACATGGAAGCAAACATCTTTCCATGGTTCTCTTTACTAGAATAGGCAAACTGGCACATCTGGGAAAACCCGAATCTGAAAAGCCCGGGTTTTCCTTCAGTAAGTCAAAGCTCCCAAAACCATCCTCTTTCCCCCCAGTCGATCACATGCTCCAATCAACCTCCGTTCCATCTCAATCCAGCCCCCTGACCACTTCTTCTCCAGATGCTGGATCGCCCTGACCTTGACCGACAGGAAGGATGCTATTATGTCTACTAACAACCCCTCTCCTTAATCCCCCCTCCTACTTTCCCACACACGAGAAGGGGGCAGCATTGGCGCTTCCGGCCTAATATGGCTTCCAAAGCTGACAGAATACCTGTACTAATTTTTTTAGAAGATGGGAAGATCTTTGAAAACATGCCAGCGAAGGGGCAAATTCGACATATGCAAAAACTGAACCGAAAGAAAAATTCTAACCCCCATTATTTGGCAATGGGTAAATTGATTCAAATTTGAAACCTTTCAAGCGCACGACGCCCTGCTTCTAACTTGAAACAGCTGTTCTAAGATTTCAGAAAGTGTTCTGAGCTCAAAATAGCATTGCAAAATCAAGAAATGTGCAATTAGATTATGTATCACAAGTGTCAGAGAGAAGGGCTCCAGCTACTTTGACCTTCTACTCCAAAGTTATACCTCTACCTCCCAGAAACTATTTAAGGCAGAATTGCCAGGGCAAGGTTATTGGTTGATGCACCAAAGGTTCATCCTATCCCAATCCAGAGAGAGTGCCATTAAAATTACTGAGAGCAAGTTTTGCCAAGCCCCCAAATGTGCTTCTCCGTGTAGCTCGATGACTGGAATTGAGAATCGCAAGGACGGAAGCCTGAATTGGATTCCTAATTTTTACGTTGCAATCCAATCCAGTTAAAAAAATAAACAAACCTATCGATTGAAATTGACATTTAATCCAACCAGCCTGATTGCCTTGACAACTGATCGCCCGGAGTCGCTTGCCGTGAATGAGATGGACAGTCTCTCAATTTGATAAAAATAAAATAAAAACAACAAGAGACGGCTTTTGTTCTTTACAGAAAACAGGCGTTCAAGGTAATTCGTGTTGTGGCTCGACGGTGGCCAGCGGAGCTGGCAGCAGAGTCGGACAGTGAGGAGGTTGGTGTTGTGGCTCTGACCCCTGAGCCAATCTTATCGGAGGAAGAAGGCTCCGAACATGAAGGAGAGGAGCCGGCCAGGCCTCCCTCTCCAGGCCCCTCCTCTCTGGCAATGCCTCAGGTGTCTGCCGAGGGAGAGGAGATTGGCCAGGAGCCAGGTGTCTCCGATGATAGCGATGACTGTGATACGTCGTTCCTGGATCCACGCCAACGAAGGCGAGATAAACGTTTGCAGCAGATGAGGAGGCGTGCCAGGGATTAAACTGAGTCACTGGACCACACCCCACAGGCTATATAAGAGAGTGTGGTGGCCATTTAGAATCTGTGACGGACAAAGCTAACTTCTGGCTAGTCGCTTTGTACAACGCCTAAATCTGCTGAAGGCTTCTGTTTGAACTGGACTGTTTTGGAAACTGTGTGTATTTGTTTGTGATTACCCAGTGGAGGAACACTCCCTTTTCTTGAAATAAAGCACTTGGCAGACGGTTATCGTATTGCTGCCAAGTTCCTGATAACGAACCCTGTGTGTGCCAAGTAATTCTTTAACCCCCGGCTGGCTGTTTGTGTATGTGGGGGGGGACGGGGACAGAACAGTTGGGGAGGAATATGGGCCAGTCCTGGGGGAACTGGGGAAAGCTTGGACGAGGGCTCTGTGTTGGAGGCAGAGAGGGAGCTAGACAGCAGTGAGGAAGAGGAACAGCTGGAGCCCGTTCCCAGTGTATGCCAAGAACAACTAAGAAAGCAGGGTCAACTTGGGAGTAAAGCCACAATATATCATCTTCAAATGGTATTGATAGCAAATATTTTTGGCTCTCATGTAAAAGAAGATCAAAACTTTTTGTTTATTGTCATTTCTGTGGCAATTGGTGAACTATTTTAATCATGTCCTCTGGCCAGACAGACAATGTGTATTTCATTATTCTAATCAGAGTGAGGGACTAATGTTGCATTTTGTACAGCCAAATTTGGCTTAGCCTCTATGAGGGTACCTATTGAGGTTCTTTCTGGTACAGTACAATGCCAATCAAATAATTAGCATTCTGTTTGTTTTTTAATTAATAGCAAAAGAAAATGCAGTAAAGTCAGACTCCCAGATTTTAACTCAACTCATTCCATCTTAGTCGTACAAGCTAGTTCATTTTGTAATTAATAGAATAGAATTCTTTATTGGCCAAGTGTGATTGGACACACAAGGAATTTGTCTTTGGTGCATATGCTCTTATTGTACATAAAAGAAAAGATACATTCATCAAGAATCATAAGGTACAACACTTAATGATAGTCATAGGGAAACAAGTCAATATAAATCTTAAGGATACCAGCAACAACAATATAATGCACAGTGTCTCTTACTTGCTTAATTTAAACTTTTTTAAAAAAAGCATTGGTCTTATAACTATGTATGTGAAGAACCTCACCAAATGCACATCAGCTGTTAATTTTCAAAATGTTACTTCTCAGGAATTTAACATGGCACCAAATGCCGGATGCAGAACATGCAATGTTGAAGCCTCATTCCCACGCATTCATCGATATGAATCAGGACTTCACAGCAGGTAAGTCTCCTTGAAACTTTTAAAAAGTTTTCCCCGTGATGTAGACGCAAAACGGCAGCGAATATTAATCGGAGGCACGCAAAACGTTTTGAGGGAGGAGTGCTTGCCAGCGAGGTCAAAACAATCTGTTACCAGTTCAGAATATTTTGCTCATCTTTGATCTTGAAAAAGTAAAAGAACCTCGGATCTGATTAGTGCTTGAATGGGAGATTGCTCGGAATTTATCAACACTATAGGCTAGAAAGGGTTTTGTGTGGTGTTGTTTTTTAAATCTCAGAAGAAGGCAATGGCAAAAAAACCTCCTATATTGTCCTGCCTTAAAGTCATGGAAAGTTGAGCTCAATTCAAAGTAGACGTTCATCAGTCTTTATTAATGGTTCCTAAACACCACAACCTCAAGGCATATGGACTTCAAATCTCAGAATTTCACCATCGTCTGGGAGCTGAAGTCTACCTACCTGGACATGACTGCCCATAATGCAGTGTGCGCGCCTCACACATGCACATGCGACCCCCCCTCCCCCACCCCACCCTGCACATGCACACACGGGTAGGATTCAAAAATTTTAGCAACCAGTTCTCTGCCCGGTTGCTGGGCAGGCATGGGCGTGGCCTAGTCGGCCTTTTGCACCATGATGGGGGAGCATCTTTGCCCCTCCCAGGCTCCGGAGGTTTTCCTTGAGCCTCTGGGAGGGCGAAAACAGCCTTTCCTGGGCTCCGGAGGCCGGAAATGGGCCCATTTCCAGACTTCCCAAACATCCGGGTGGCACGTTTTTTGCTCTCCCCAGCCTCCGGAGGTTTTCCTTAAGCTTCCAGGAGGGCGAAAACAGCCTCCCCTGGGCTCCAGAGGCTCTCCGGATGCCAGAAACACACCCATTTCTGAATTTCCAGGACGCCTGTTTTTCGCCCTCCCCAGGCTCCGTACGGGCCCTGCACTGAACTGGCATCCAAAACGGGCTGCATGGAGCCTTCTGGGAGCCTCCTGGGCCCAAAAATGGGCCGTAGGGAGGCGCTGCACCACCACCACCCCCGTGCTCCCCTCTGCACATGCGCGCGTGACTCCTTCCTTCCCCGCATATGCGCACACAACCTCTGCGCATGCGCGCACGTCTCCCACATGCGCCCCGCCCCCTGCGCATCCCAAAAATCAGTTGGCCTGCAGGAGGCACATGTGCATGTGCAGTGGAACTGAGCTGGGTGACGGCTCGTGTGCCCACAGAGAAGTCTCTTGTGTGCCAGCTGTGGCACATTTGCTATAGTTTCGCCATCACTGTGCTATGCTATGCATACCATGATAGAGTTGCTTGATTGTTAGATAGGCGGCTGCGTAAATATGAGAAATAAAGAAGAGCCTTGGTAGTACAGTGGTTTAATGCACCCTGTTATTAACACAGCTGCCTGCAATTTCTGCAGGTTCGAATCTTACCAGGCTCAAGGTTGACTCAGCCTTCCATCCTTTCTAAGGTAGGTGAAATGAGGACCCAGTTTGTGGGGGCAATAAGCTGACTTTGTATAAAATATACAAAAGGATGAAGGCTATTGCTTAACGCATTGTAAGCCGCCCTGAGTCTCCGGAGAAGGGTAGCATATAAATCAAATTAAAAAAAAAATAAAAATAGCTGTACTCTGCTGATTTGGGTTTCTCTCACATGGGCCTGGCTTAGGGGTTAATTTAATTCTTTGGCCTCCTGTTGCAGTTACATCACAATTCTCTTGCCTCAAATAACATCGCCCCCCCCCTTTTTTTTTTAAGCATCAACTTACAAAACGGTGGGCAGAAACGATTTTACGCTTGTCATATCAATATCCTAAATTATAATTAAAAATGGACAGAATCTACCTTTTTTTCCCCCCCGATTTCCAATACCCCGAGTTGATCCAAACAGCGGAATGTTAATAATTTTTTAACACCGCGCCAACGTTGTTGCATCGAAACAATACAACGTGTCAAGATTCATAACAACATCGTCAAAAGGGAATAAAAAATAAAATAAAAAAGGAGAGGCAGTTTGTTGATTCCAATTGACACGAGTATCTATGACTGCATGTTATTCCATTTAATTTCACTGCAGGCGTTAAATTCTGCATCTCCACTCAGGCACCTCTCTCTCTCTCTCTCTCTTTCTGAAGGCATTTTTAATCTCAAAAACATTGCCGGCTTTTGCACTTTGCTCCATGATATCGGGGATTTTTCTTTTGATTAGTGGAAAACGAAGGGAGATCACAGATCTCGTCCGATTGATCACAAGAGTTCTTGCATTATCCCCCTCTGTAGGCTCCTCGTGTCTTGTTGATTTCCCTTCACCTTTTCCCATCTTGGTGGTGATTATGATTATTAAGAGTGTGATTCTCCCAGGTTCTTTCATCTTCCAGCTTTAAAAAGAAAACCTGTCTTGGTTTTTATTTTGTTTTTTCTCCCCTCGCTTTTTTGTTCTGAGTCTGTTTGAATCTCTCCTTTGATTTAGTTTTGGCTGTCTTACCTCTCTTGTACATTTCACGTTTTTTAATCCTGATTTTTTTTTTTCTTCAGCGTGTAAAAAACACGCAACCCGGCTCACCTACTCGGTGATATCACAAGCAATGAATCAATACGATTCTATTGATTATAATGGGTCAGATTATGGCAGAGAGATAAATACAATGACCGAAATGACTGAAGTGGAATTGGAGGAAAGAAATTGTTTGAAAGATCAAAGGCAAATCTGGGAAGGGGGGAGCAAATGCCAGGTTGTCCTACATGGAGAGAATGTTTTCTTTCTTTCTTTTGCAAATGGGCCCAAAATAATAAAAGCAGCTGAACTGTTTTTGATAGCGACATTATTAAAACAGATTTAAAGTATGTATGGAAAAAGGGAGGTGAGGGGAATCATTTTTACTCGCAACATTTTTATGCCAAGTTCCCGGGGGGGGGGGGGGGGGGGTTTCCTTAATATATTTCAAACTGCTGTTTTACCACCCACTTTCCTGACTGGTATATTTACTTAGCTGAGATCTAAAGAGCTGTTTCTGTAGTCCTTCCAATCTGTTTTGGAATTGTATTGGTTATCTAATAAAAATTATGCATGTAATGTATTTTTGGGAATAAGAACATCTGTTGTTAAGAAAATGAACATGTTGAGACACTTGGAAGTAACTTTCTTCAATCTGAGCCTTATCTTTTTCTATGATACATCTATTCCCAATACAGTATATGGCCTAGATTTGGCAATACTGGACAATATTGGATCTAATATTTGGCTTAAAATATATTCCTGAAGCCATAGAATATTTTTTCTTTGTTTGACATTTCTATCATTTTTTGTAGTTCATTATCCTATGTTACCTCTTTTCCATTATCTGTCCATTTGCCCATCTGTCTGTCACCTATCAGCCAGCCAATATCGTATCTGTCTGTCTGTCACCTATCATCTATTATCCATCCATCATCCATCCTCTATCTATCTATCTATCTATCTATCTATCTATCTATCTATCATCTATCTATCTGTCACCTATCATTTATCTATCATCCATCCATCATCTGTCTCTCTCTCTCTGTCTATCTGTCTGTCACCTATCATTTATCTATCATCTATCCATCCATCATCTGTCTGTCTGTCTATCTGTCTGTCACCTATCATTTATATTTCATCCAGCCATCATCTGTCTGTCTGTGTCTGCCTGTCTGTCTGTCCGTCCATCCGTCCGTCCGTCCGTCCGTCCGTCTGTCTGTCTGTCTGTCTGTCTGTCTATCTAGCTATTTCCCCGTGTTTTTTGTCTAAGGCACTGTGTATACAGTAATGCTATTTAAGTTAGTTGAGAATCCCTTCAATGAACATTTCAAAATGAAATTGTTGTTAACAATATTGATAGCACAGGTATCTTAAGGGAACTTTATCCCTTTAGAGTCATTTATCCATCCATCTGGTTTACATGCTGCTCTGATGAGAACCATCTCTGAGCGGCTTACAGGGTTTAATGCAGTAACAGGATTAAAACATAAATTCCATAAAGAAATACATCCAAGCCCTGAGGAACATTCAAATGCAAATGCTTCCCTTGCATGGGGAGGGGGGGCAGGAGAGGGATGGGGGGAGGCACAATTTCAATCCAACCCTGAAAGCTCCTTGAAAATATCAGATTTTTCTTCTGCTGTTGCTTCCTTCTCTTCCTTTTCCTTCTCCTTCTCCTCCTCCTCCTTTTGCTTCATCCCTTCCTCCTTTTTCTTCATCTCTTCCTCCTCCTTTTCCTCCTCCTCCTCCTTTCACTTCTTTCTCCTTCATCTTTTCATTCTCCTCTTCCTCCTCTTTCTTTTTCCTTCTCATTTCTTACTCCTCCTGCTCCTGCTCCTCCCCTTCTCTTCCTTTTCCTTCTCCTCCTCCTTTTGCTTCATCTCCTCCTCCTTTCTTTTCCTCCTCCTCCTCCTTTCACTTCTCTTTCTCCTTCATATTTTCATTCTCCTCTTCCTCCTCTTTCTCTTTTTTCTTCTCTTCTTCCTCCTCCTTCCCTTCTCTTCCTTTTCCTTTTCCTTCTCCTCCTTCTTTTCCTCTTCCTCTTCCTTTCACTTCTCTTTCTCCTCCTTCATCTTTTCCTTCTCCTCCTCCTCTTTCTCCTTTTTCCTTCCCATTTCTTCCTCCTCCCCTTCTCTTCCTTTTCCTTCTCCGTCTCCTCTTCCTTTTCCTTCATCTCTTCCTCCTCCTTATTTTCCTCCTCCTCCTTTTTTCACTTCTCTTTCTCCTCCTTCATCTTTTCATTCTCCTCCTCCTCCTCCTCTTTTTCCTTCTCATTTCTTCCTCCTCCTCCTCCCCACCCCACCCCCCAAAAAAAAAGAATTGGAGCCAATCAGATCTCCAGGCAAATTCCACTTTTGCCTGAAGGAAAATATTGACTTGAGAAAGCCCATCCCAATAATCCATGCAAATAACACTCCCTAGTATGTACATGCTTATCATTATTGACACAGTTTTTCTTAAAAAAAGAAAAGAAAAAAAATGCCTTCAACTCTAATGCTTCTTCATCTT